GTCCTGTGAAGTTTTGTTGAAATCGGTTGAAAAATGTAGGAAATCAGATCCAATATATAAACGTGTACACACACACACACACACACACACACACACAACCTGGGTTTTATAATAAGTATGATTATGTGTAGAAAAATGCTTGGCTGAATAACGTTGCCTAGCAGAAATAACGTAGCAAAAATAGGGACTGGGTTCGATTTTTTATATATATATATATAAAGAGTGTATGGATGGACACAATGATTGCCTTTAAGTAGCTCTATTTTTTTAGAATTTTATGGTACAGCACCTATTTTTGTTTTGGCATTCGAAATTCGGAATAACATGGAGTTTATTAAGTCACCCAACACAATCTAAATGTATTACAATGTGAGCGTTCAGTATTAATGAATAATAAGTGAACAGTTTCTTTTCCAAATAAGAGTTTTTATATTTTACTCGTCGCCTCGCTTGATAGAAAGAATGTCTAATGAACTTGAGTCAGATAATAGGTGCATCGAATCAATTCAAACGATTGTTTGTGGGGCGTCTTTCTGACGATGCAAACGCGACCCACAAACCAAAAGCCACGACAAAACGGTATTTCGACAAGGCGTTCTATTGTTCATGCTCTGACTTCTGTGCTCAGCATTGTACTATTTAGGCCAGCCGCTCCTTGCTCGTCGTGTTTTCGTTTCAATCTCTATTTTCGTCACTCGAATATTCTATCGGCGTCCCGCCGATAACACATCAATAGCACGAGTCACGGTATTGATTGGTTTTTGATGTTTCAAACCAAGATTTATTTTTATCACATTTGATTTCTCAAAGATGGGTTTAACAGAAACTTTCAGAAGTTTACCGTAGCGTTTCGGACAGTAGCTTGATTAAGAAACTGTCTCACCTTCAACAAAGGCAACGACATTTGTTTATAATTTCTGATTGTTTAATTCATTTAATAACTTCTTGGTTTAATGACCTTGACTCTTGGAGAGCAAAGACCAACATAAAACAGTTCGCAGACAATTTTGAAACTCAGTAATCTGGCCTCGTACCATAATTAACTAAGTCAAATATTTTCATTGAATTTGTTTCCCCGCACTAGCTTGGGTGTGTTATATGCAACAGGGAAGCTATTTAATTTGGCAACTATATATTTTACTTATATGCAAACATGTAGATAAATCATCATAATCATTACAATCATCATCATCGTCATCATCAAACCCATTATCCAATGTGGTCGTTAAGTCGCTGTGGCTGCTTAGGACCAGCCCAGTTTCCGCAACATTTATCATTTAAACGAAACTTCGTAAATATCAGTTCTTTATATATATTCAGTCTTATTACTCATCCTTCTATTTCTTTATCATAGCAGTTTTGTGAATGTTCTGCAAATATTGACTGAAGGTGAGTATATACTCATAAACAGGCTGTACTAGATATAAGCAAATTATGGAAAACTGGCATTGGAAGGGAATCAATGAGAACACATATCCCGAATCTATCATAAAAATTCAGGATGTGGAATAAATAAATACTAAACATTTCAAATGCTCGATATGTGCATCAGTTATAACAAATTTAGGCTATGACATAAAGAAACTGAACATAGCATGCACTGCACTAGTGGTAGTTTTACCCAATACCGCAAGTTGTTGCAAAACCAAAACATTAACCTTTTATTTCTTACATAGGCTTCTAAGATAATAACTTTCATATGAAGACGACTTTTCGAAGGCCGAAAGTATAGGGCACCTAGTAAGGATCGAACTCACTACTCAATTTAGCAAGACAAGCTTGCTAACCATCACACTACCTTTCATATAGAAGTCTTACATGGTAACAGAATCGTTCAGAAATATCTATACTATCGATTTCGCAGATCGTTTATTAAAAATGATTTTGAGTGAATGTAGCCTGTAGGACTTAGAGAGTTACATCGTTCTTTGAACCTTAAGGACTGGCGTTGCCGAATACTGGAAAGCCCGATAATGTTTTCTGAACTTGAAAAAAATAGATTTCCTGAAAAATTGCTTCCAGAAAATATATATATATATATATATATATATATATATATATATATATATATATATATATTTAAATATATTTAAATATGTTTAAAACAATACAGAAACGTATTATGGCATAAAAAGCAAGAAATTTTATATTACAGGCCATGATAGATTTAAAATAAAAACAAAAACACACACCAGTCGACCGGTTTCGTTCCCTCTCATCAGAAGTGTTAACGGGGAACACAAATTATGAAGATGCTTCTAGCATCTTTGTTGGTATAATTTTTATCATTATATTTTTTCTTCTCTCTGTCCATTCATTCACGTCATCCATGACAGACTTTCTTTTTTTTTTCTCTTCATAATTTGTGTTCCCCGTTAACAATTCTGATGGGAGGGCACGAAAACGGTCGGCTAGTGTGTGTTTTTGTTTTTATTTTAAATCTATCATGGCCTATAATATAATATTTTTTGCTTTTATGCCATAATATATATATATATATATATATATATATATATATATATATATATATATATATATATATATAAAGGACAGTAGCACATTTGCCGAATGTTTCCTTATGAGAAATCTCTATACCATTATATTCTTCAATATAATCATATATTCTTCAAATAACAAGATTACTTTATTCATATGGCTTTTTGTTTTCTGATTAAATTTGATCCTGATTCGTGCATGTATTTCACTGGTGAATTTTATTTCATCGTTTTTTTTTTGTTTGTTTTTTTTTTTTTGTTTGTCTTTTTTTTTTTTTGCTCTTTCATCCGATACAGTGCTCTAGAGCCAGTCAAGGTAGAGTACTGGAATTAAAACGGTTATTATGAGTCATATGTCTGCTAAATAGAAGATCACGTGACAATATATAACACGATACGATAATTTATTTTACAGTGATCAAAATAATAATAATAATGTCCTTTGTTTAAATAATATTATTACGGAGCAGGAGTGAGTAAGAAATGACACTCTTAGGTAAAACTATCACCTACGACTATGGGCGTTGGCTGTAAATTATTCACCCGTGGGTGTTAGCTTTGGATATTAAACGAAGGAAAACTTTCAGCCATTTAAAAAAAAGATAAAAAAAAATTCTTATTTGCCGTTAGATGCGGTAAAATAAACTTCTAAATTTCTTTGAAGGAAAAATATCATATGCAAAAATCTTTAAAGAGTTCAGGTACTTCGTTCAGAGGTCTTTCACGTTTGTTGTATAACGGCATAGAATTATAAATAACACAGCACAGACTGTAATGAGAATAAATTTAGCCAAATCCTGAGATCGAAGGTTAAATATTGTACAAATATCAAAGACGCTTCATATATTTATGTCAGACAGTGTACAACTATTGTATTTCAGATGCCATCACCTAAAACACGTTAGTCAATAAATTGAATACAAAAACGATAACAAAGGGAAAGCCTTTCATGAAAACGACTCTTCAGTTGGGTCGAATATAAGTGGTTTACTGTCTGATATCGATACCGCCTTGGGCAAGTCTCTCAAAACCAGAATTCACAAGGCAGAAGATCAAAGGAGACTCATGGAGCGAAAATCTTGGAAACCGGTACACTATCGAAAAATTCACCTGCAGGAAACACAATGAACATCGTTTAGAGGCAAAATCTCATTTGCAAAGGTTTCGCTGTCTGGTCTTTGTAAATTCAGAACAAGCCATGCCGAGAACAAACAAACAAAAAAATGTTATTATTCATTTGCATATCTACATTTTTTTTTAAATTCATCCATATGGCAGAACATTTTAAGCTACATCCTGGCCTATTTTGGAACGCTAGAATTCAAATATGTTCGTATGATCTAAAGAACTGCATTTTAAAAAGGTTTACACGGAGCTATACCACACCGGTAAAGAATGTATCAAATACTTACGGATGTTCTTCTTCTTCTTCTTCTTCTTCTTCTTCTTATTATTATTATTATTATTATTATTATTATTATTATTATTATTTTATACGCGTATTAAATATTTTATATGCAATAACATATTGACAAAACAATGTTCTTGACAATGACTGAGAGGGAAAATAAATATCAGTCTTATCCGAAATTTTTACTCCGCTGTGCAGCGTCTGATTAAAATATTGAGAAAAACACAATAGAAAAATATGTAAATGATCTTGTCGACTTAATTTCATTAACTTGCTTGAATGAATTATAAGCTACACACACACACAAATATATATATAACCCTTTATGAAGTCGTCAAAAAAACAAGTATTAGTGACATATGACAGTTCTTTTTATATATAGAAAAAAATGAAAAAACAAAATAAAAAAAAATGAATCTCCATAGACACTTAACCAGACTAGACGATGTCATCTTCCGCTTTAAATTTAGACACCCCAACCTTACCATGACTTGACGTCTTTGAATGTAACTGAGATATTGATACAAATTATTAACCCTTATGCCCCTTTTCTTTAAATAATTGCTCTAGCCGTTACGATAGTAATTTTAATTTTAATAATGAATATGCATATAAAACGCGTAAATTTCAGGAATTAGTTATTCCCCCCACCAAAAAAAAAAATCGCTTGAAGATGGAACAGAGCTTGGTACTTTAATTCTTATGTAGCGTTAGAATCATATTTTTAAATAAATAATTATAAATATATATATATATATATATATATATATATATATATATATGTGTGTGTGTGTGTATGTGTGTGTGTGTGTGTGTGTGTATTAAGAAAGAGAAAGAACAGTAAGATTTATAATCCGCTAGCTTATAAGTTATTCCAAAATTTGCTTGAAAATGAAACAGTACCAGGGATTTTAATTTAATTCTAGAATTAATATACTTAAGTTTCGCTGAATTATTATATATCTTTGCTCTGTCAAACCACATCGAGTACTATAATGTACAAATTTGATGACTATTTATCTGCTTGCTCGCGTATTGACACCAGCACGCGGATATACACTTGCTTATATCTGGTCGTTTAATTTATCTATCACTTATATATATATATATATATATAGATAGATAGATAGATAGATAGATAGAGAGAGAGAGAAAGAGAGAGAGAGTCTGATAAGTGCCATAAGGGGTATACGTGTGGGCGATCATGTCTGACTAGGCAGAATTTTTTTTTCCCGCAGCAGCTTGTCGTTTCTTTCTTCGGTAGACTGGTTGACAACAAACGTGTCGGGCGTCAATAATTGTCTTCCTTTGGATTGGCAGCGGGGCTTAGGACATTGGGCATCCGTTGATCACGTGGGAATTCAGTCTCTTACCAAAACTTGCGTTAAGAGGAGATTTTTATTTATTTATTTATTTTTTTTGCTTTTGTTCGTTGAAAAGTTAACATCTCATTTTCCTGAAGTCCACTTATGTGGCAAACCGACATTATGTTCACTGCTTTTGGCTGAGTGGAAACGAGGCCCTTTATTTCACCTCGTCAAGGGAACCAGAAAAAGTGAGACGTTTTCTTTGTTTATCTTTTATGTACCTCAGTCAGACATGCTCGTTCTTGGATTAATGGGTGTATTCATCTGTTTGAGGACACATACGATTTGTTGCAACATTTTTTGCATTTATTAAATGTTTTAATTATGCACGCTTGTCTCACGACTTTCATTTCCCTTTATTCAATGTTAATGTATCAATAGATACACCAATGTTAGTATTAGTACCTGGTAAATTGGAAACTATTAAATATCTTTCTAGCACCAAATTGCCTGTAAATTATGACTGGCAAATAAAATTATACAAACAAGTGGTACTAATAAAGGCTTCTGAATTTAGGGTCTCCTGTTATTTAACCAATAGCTGGAGGAGACAAGATGGATTCATACCTGGCTACTTACTGAACCATAACGCATTTACATACACATAGACACTCATGTACAACTATTGTTTATTTTGTTATCATGATCACTGTTTTTGCTATTATCGCTTTTAATTTATGTCAAATTATCCTGCACTTTCCGACAGAATAGGAAACACTAAAATTATTACTATACAAACAGACACATATATTTAATGATTGACATTGAACATTTTGGGTTAGAAACTAAAATACGACAATATAGAATTCCTGACACTTGAATTACTAAACACTGTCTTATCATGTGCGACTTTACACTATTTGTCATTAGCCACGTTCGTTGAACTAGGACACTCCCAAATTTTGACAACAAAATTTTATGTTCACCATTTACATTATCGGACTATTGTCCACATCTTTGTCACCAAATTTATTACAACGTTTCAGCCGTTGTACGCGCCGGCCTTCTTCAGGTGGTTGGAATGTCGAACTGAACCCTTTATTTCGCTCACTGAGTTAGACTGTTCTAGTTCCACATGTTATGTTTAATGCATGTCAGTTATCTCCTGTTAATTCCCCTCTGAAAGTTCTCCACTGCCTTAACCAGGTATTGAACTCACACACTTTTGGTCCTGTAACTGAATCTAACCAACGGCTTTATCCACTGTGCCTCGTGTCCTCTAACCCAGTGAGCGAAATAAAGGGTTCAGTTCGACATTCCAACTACCTGAAGAAAGCCGAAGTGTACAACGGCCAAAACGTTGTAATAAATATGCCGACAAAGATGAGGACAACAGTCCGAATAAAGTAAAAAGTGTACATAATACCACATCTCAGAACTATAGACAGATACCATAATTTTATGGTTATCAATTTTTGATGTAATTATTACTATGCCTGATCATGTGATCATAATCAACAAATCAGATTGTATTTTAAACATATAGCAATCCGAGCATATTTTTTTTAAAATGAAACAGAAAACATTCTCCAACTTCAATTAAATGCAAAACATATCATGGCATATATAAGCACACGTTTCTCTATGTCAATTCTATTTTTGACAAACATACAACTGTAAAACCTGTTAAGTTACTCTATTTAAATATACTTAAAGACTCTAGCTGCATTTTCAACTTCTTTCCCCACCATATGTATATATATATATATATATATATATATATATATATATATATATATATATATATATATATGGTTTTCCTTCGGTTCGAAAAATGTCTTTTTCCAATCATCATGATGGTTTTTTCTTCGGGTTCGAAAATGTCTTTTTATCTTCTTATTAGAGTCAATTTGTCAATGGATACAGATGAATTTTCATGACAGGAAGAAAAAACTGAAAATCGTTTCATCGTCCACAGGAATAATCCCACCACGACTGTTCTGCCTACAGGGTATATTCATTATATATATTATATATATATATATATATATATATATATATAGAGACTTCCATTCTCTAGCAGCAGATTGTCAGGACTTCTTAAGTTACGCCTATTCCTGATGATTCCTGTTTACCTCATGAGGTCTTTTTTCGTTTTTACACTTTCATATACAGGTTCGGGTTTTTTAGGTAATAAGAGGACAACGAAAATATATATATTGAAATTTTTTGAACGAAGAGTTTGTTTTAAATTTTATGGTTGTGCTTTTGTACAAATATAGTAATAAGAGAATTTTTGTACTTATGGAACTGGAATTTAAAACAAGATCTATGTTTGTTTTTAGTATGAATGATTCATGTGTAATTTAAATATATATATATATATATATATATATATATATATATATATATATATATATATATATTTTTTGGTACATACAAAAAATACTAGTTCATGGTATTCTATGTGTTTATCAATAATTATTAATGTCTTCGCTGTTGCAACTTGTACAGTGAAATTGCGTTTCATTGCCTGATCATTAGAACATTTAGAGAAGCTAAATTAGTCATAATGTGTCCGTTGGCTTCACGCCCAGTGACGAAATCTCGTAGACACTTGGCAACTGTCTTTGGTAGAATGAACATCTTGGAAATTCTTCCTTCTCATGATCTGAATCGCTATAGGGAAATGGTATGACAGCAGACGAATTCGGGAATCATTACAGAATGTAATTGCAAAGAATCCGTATTAGTCAGATTGTTGCATTCAGATAAACAGTACAGTTCATTATGGCCTGAGACCCATCTTTCTGGCTTCATGATCAAAGAGTTACTTAGCGAAACGTCTCACGACGGCCAGGCATAAGATGGTAACTACGGGTGATATGAAATTATTCTAACCCATATCTTCTTGTTCCATTTTAATATAACGTCTTTCCACCCATATATCTAAAATCTAAGTATAACAATAGCTATTGAAAATTTCATTAAATAATCTTAAAGATGCGTTTTCCTCTAAAATCAAAACCCCAGAACCTCCTAGTATAAAGGCTTACTGAATGCTGTTGATACGTGAACAGTGATAGCAAGAGTGAGAGTTTATATGTGCAAATGATTACGTTCAGGCGTAAAATTTTATTTTAGTGGTAGGGAAAATGTCCTCTTGGTTTTCTGTTCTACAAAGCAACAGTCATTGGGAAGGAGCTATCCGAATGGGTCTTGCTCATTGCTAATGGAATATGAAGGGAATGAGATTGGTTCGTCTCAAAGTACACGGTGTGGCGTATCGTAGCTGTGAGGGTCAGATTTGGTGCATAAGGAATATAACACGTCTGAACATTTTCCATGGAAATAGCAAAAGGGTAGCGAGCGGTTTTCAACGTTTCGTCTTTGGGGGAAGATGTTGTAAAGTTAAAAACGATTCATCACCAACATGGCCACCTAGACGCTTTTAGATTTTATCAAGATATGGCAGATTTCGGTCTAATCTAGCAACATTTTCAAAATGGTGGTAAAAAGTAGGCATCAGTTTAATGTTTGGTCAAAAGGATATGTGTTCCGGAGGAAAATATTTCCCTTGTGTTATTAGTGTGTTTTAACCGACTCCTTCTTTTCCCCATATATGAGGTCTGTCTAAAAGTATCGGGACTGTTGCTATGGTAAAGTATAATTGTCGGAGATTGACTTTAAAATCTATCGCGTATACATACTAAGTTATAACGTTCTCGCTCACCACCGTTTTTTTTTTTTTTTTTTAACAATCACAATACATTAATAAGAAAAAGGCCAGAGGAAATATTGTGTAACTTAACTAATGAGCTCGTATAAATGGATGATAGGACTGGAAGGGGGAGATATATTTAGAAAATCAAACATTGCAAAGATTTACAAAGGATAAAAAAATGGAGAAACTGTTATCGTCCACGTCCTGAAGGGAACTGGCACATGGATGATGATGGTGAGGATGATGATGCTGATGACGGTGAAGAAGAAGAAGAAGAAGAAGAAGAAGAAGAAGAAGAAGAAGAAGAAGAAGAAGAAGAAGAAGTATCACAATCATGTCGTGTTTTCTGTCTGACGATGACATGCTCTAGCCTGAACGTGAGATAAGTAATATCGTCACAGTTAAGAAACGTTCTCGAAAACACTATTAAGCTATTCGTCGGCATCACCGTCCTGGGTATAACGATAAACTACATCCGCGTCCTGTGTATGACGATAAACTACGTCCTACGTGATCAGAAGGTTTTGAAGATCGTGGAACCAACTCTTAATTGCTGATGTTCCCAGGTCCACCCTGACCCGGGGTGGTCGCACCTATAAGGGTCCCAGCTATGGGCAAATAGTTGACACCCAAACTTGTGTAAAAATAGGTTTTAATGCCAGAAATACTTTGTAATAAAAAAAATTACCAGCAATAGTTTTGAAGGAAAAATTATTATCAGCAATACTTAAAAAGTACCAGCAATAGAAAAAGCTATACAGGCTTTGAAAAAAATGTTACCAGCTATAGATTTCTTCAAGTAAAAATATTCCCAGAAATAGATTTTTGAAGAAAAACTTTACCAGCAATAAAAATTTGGTCGGCATTAAATAACCCAGTGAGGTTGATATGCCGTAAAACAAACCAAACCAAATCGTCAGCATCTTTTTTCTTAAGTAATTTTACCCACTTGCAAACGCTAGGGCCACTGTAAATTTGGTTGTTTTATCGCTGTACGAGGAGGAACTATATGAAGATTATGAGGATATAGACGATAGAAAAATGTTGATTCAAGAGTTGAAGAGTATAATATTCTAGTGATCGGTTAAGCATTATCTCCGAAATCTCTTCCATAAGTAGCTGTCTCGGAAAGAACTGAGTGGAACATCTTCTTGCAAATGGAATATGAGTAGAAATAGGATGAACTTCTCTTGTGTATTTAGGGTACCGTGTCTAAACTGTTAATTTCTGAACTGGATGAATGAATGAATGTAGCTCGTCAGAACACTTGCCATGGAAATAGCGGTCGAATATCAATAGACTATACGATATTTCATTGTATTATGTTGGTGCAAAAATAATGACGTAATAATGTCGTTCTTTGACGTATTTTTTTAACGTCAAAAAACGACATTATTACGTCATTATTTTTGCACCAGCCTAATAATATGACTACAAAGCTGGAAATATATAATCGCATACAAGGCCCTGTAAACGCTTTTGATCTCTCTCAAGTCTGGAAAGGAAGGATTGGTCATCTCCAACCCAGATATGGCAGCCATAGTCTATTTTGGGGTCTGATCTGATAAGATAGCGTACACCAGGAGGATTCAGAAGGTTTCCTCAGCGTTAAAAGGAAACGAACATTTTTTTAAAAAAGACAAGGTGTGTGAACTTGGAAGATGGATCTTATGCCATACACTGGGTATAATCACCCTCGTGAACGACGATTTTTTTTTTGATAGATCAATGACTAGCGGCGAAACATGTAATCATTCAACAATCGGATGATATTGTATTGATGACAGTCGAAAAAATACAAAACTAAAGGAACTCAAAGAAAGGGTAGAAAATGTAAGAAAAAACAAGGGTTATTAACATTAAAAGACATAATGAATGATTATCAGCGCCTCCACCCAAAAAAAGGCTTACAGCCATATCACGTTGAAACACAGATTGCCGTACGATCACCGAAGTTAAGTGATGTCGAGCCTGTTTAGTAACTAGATGGGTGACCGTTTGGGAATACCAGGTGCTGTAAACTTGGGTGTGCGGGTGGTGTAATAGATAATATCTCGGAATTGATAATCGGATAGCCTAGTTCCAATTCCAGTTTGGTTCGTTTTATTCAATTAAGCACAAACAAAAAAGCTATGAATCCAAAACTTCTCCCCCCCCGGTTTATTTAGTAAGACTTGTATCACTAAACAATTATTATCTCAAACAAAAAAAAAATTAAAAATTTGTGTACAAAATATTTAAATTTCGGCATTAAATTACCCAATAGATGTCAACATGCCGCTAAACAGTGGATACAGATGAATTTTCATAACAGGGAAAAATTGAAAATCGTTTCACAGGAGTAATCCCACCATTCGTTCTGCCTAGGGTATCTTTATTAGGGGTCACGAGGAATCGTTACAACCAGAGACTTCTACTCTGCAGCAGATTGTCAGTACTTCTTACTGTTACGCCTGATCCCTGATGCACCTCACGGTACTTGCTTAAACCAACTTTCGGATAGTTGAATCTATAGATCTCATTTGTTCACTGTGCCGGTTATCATCACATGAAACAGGGATGACAGTGTATATATATATATATATATATATATATATATTGGTAGATACAAAAATACTAAGTCATGGTATTCTATGTGTCTAACAAAAATTATAAACTTCGTTGTTGCAACTTGTACAGTGAAATTGCTTCACATAGCCTGTTCGTTAAAAGATTTAGAGAAGGTAAATTATTATATAGAAACGAACAAAACAATCAAGTGTTGAATCACAAACCCGAAAAATCAAAATTAAGCCGGTTAAACTATATAGGAATATGAATAATATTGTAACTAACGCCGGAAAAATGCGATTGAGAAATCCGAAATGCTGATCATAATACCAAGAAATGTTTTCCAGAAAGTAAGTAAAGTATCAAGGAACAGGAAAATGAGTGTATAACATTTTATTTCCTATTAACGTCTTTCGTTTCTCAGACACCTTGCTTCGCCTTTGGATTGCGTGTTAGGAATTCGGTGTCGCATTTTCCATCCTCTGTTAAAAAAAAGCTCCTAGAACTTCTGTTCTTACTTTATGTTTATATCTCCAATTCAAAACTCACATCATTGGCTTTTTCTCTTGCTGATAACCATATATTCTGTCTTCTTTCTTTTTCCGGTTAGTCGTTTTTTCTCCACTTTCATCTATTACTACATCTAGGAGGACCTGTAGTAGTTTACCTCCCGAGTTAGTCATCAACACAGTGTCATCTGCCTATCTAATAAATGTCCACCTATATAATAAATGTTGTTAAGATCACCAGTTCCCTGAGGGTAGGGTCAATGTCGAGGTTGAATACGATAATGCCAGTAAGAATCACAGGACTAATGCGGGTGAAAGAAAATGAGAAACCTTTGGAAGTTAAGTGGAAGCCCAATGATGAAAAGGAAACAAACAATAAATCTCTACTCCAGTTCAAAAGATGAGAAAAGAGTGAGAAGGCGTGGAGAAGAACGATACTCGTCTCAAGAGGCTTTCTACGTTTTATATTTTCATGTTTTATAGCTACTCCGTTCATAGCTTTATGTTTTACGTTTATGTTTTATAGCTCCGCTGTTTTATGGCATTATTGTTATGGAATATTACTCATGATAATAATGGACTATTCCATACTTAATAAATACTGCGCCTTATGAGTAGGCAAGGAGTCAGTCAGTAGGCGGAGTCATTAGTTCAAGCCGAGTCAGTAGTTCAAGTCGAGTCAAGAGTTGAGTCAGAGGCAGTCCGAAACAGAGCCGCGTTCAGACAATTACTGCAAGACATTGGAATAGTGATACTGGTCGAGACTACATTGTTCTCTCTACTAAACCTGATTGTTCATACTAAGATTTTCTACTTCTCTGTATATATTCCTGTTTGTAATATATCTGTGTTATTCCATATCCGTGCTCGAGTTCTTCTTTATTGGTTCTACCTTGGACTATCACCGGGGTACAAGGAACCGGACCACAACAATTATGTTTCATGTTTTATAGCTACCCAGGTTTCTTTGCTTTATGCTTTATGTTTTATACCTACTCAGTTTTATAGGTTTACATTTTATAGCTACTCAGTTTTATAGCCTTAAGTTTTATGTTTTATAGATACTTAGTTTATATCTTTGTGTTTTATATTTTATAGACACTCGGTTTTACTATTGTTTTATATCTACCTCGTTTTATAGCTTTACTAACCCTAAACCTAACCCCTACCCAGTTTTAGAGCTTTACATTTTATGTTTGATGTTTTGTACTATTTAGTTTTATAGCTACTCAGTTTTATAGAATTAGGTTTTATGCTTCATAGCTAAGTATAAAACTTAAATCTATAAAACTGAGTAGTTTTATAGCTACCCTGTTTTATAGATTTATGTTTTATGCTTTATAGCTACTCAGTTTTATAGCTTAATGTTTTATGTTTTATAGCCACTGTTTTATAGATTTATGTTTTATAGCTACTCAGTTTTATAGATTTATGTTTTATGTTCCATAGCCACTCAGTTTTACATCATTATGTTCCATGTTGTATAGCTATTCAGCTTTATAGATATATGTTTTATAGCAACTCAGTTTTATAGAATTATGTTTTATGCTTCACAGTTATGTTTAAATCTTAAATCTATAAAACTGAGTAGTTTTATAGCTACCCAGTATTATAGATTTATGCTTTATAGCTACTCAGTTTTATAGCTTAATGTTTTATGTTTTATAGCCACTGTTTTATAGATTTATGATTTATGTTTTATAGCTACTCAGTTTTATAGATTTATGTTTTATGTTCCTTAGCCACTCAGTTCTATATCATAATGTTTCCTGTTGTATAGCTACTCAGCTTTATAGATTCATGTTTTATAGCTACTCAGCTTTATAGATATATGTTTAATAGCTATTCCGTTTATAGATTATTTTTTTTAGTTTTTTTTTCCTATGCGTATGCAGGCGGTTAGCTCCTAATATATGTTTCGGATTAACAACTAACATCTTTTCCAAATAGATCTAGTTTTCCCAGCAGTTCAAATGCATACTCCTCCCCTACCTTGCCAAATACCTTTGCGTAATCTATTTAACATAAGTACACATAGGAAATATTAAAATGAATTAAAGTATAAGCATGAAGGATATCACAGGACACACCTCAGTATCGAAGATATAAAGCGAACAGTGCCCCCGGGCCTAACTCGCGTACCCAGAACATTCGCCGTCTAATATGTCAATAACTGTCTTCGGAGAACGTTTCGATTTTACCTCATATCTCAGGAAAATGACTCATATTAAATATATGTTAACCGTTAAACTTGGAGCTAATCCAGATAATTTGCAGAAAATAAATGAATACATCGTACAGTTATTCATAGTGTAATATTAGGTTGGTGCAAAAATAATGACGTAATAATGTCGTTTTTTTGACGTTAAAAAAATACGTCAAAGAACGACATTATTACGTCATTATTTTTGCACCAACCTAATATAATAGATTTAAGTATTAGATTGATTTTTCGAATTGTCAGCCATTTCAGATAAGTTATGGATCTAATTATGTACAAAACAGTGACAACATTTAAGGAATTTACGCAATAATATAAAAGCCGATGAATCGCCCACAAACATAATATTAAGATTAATCCAAGAACATGTTACAAAAATCGGAACATTGACGGCTGAAGAATAATGATCGAAAAATCAAAGACGAGAATCGGTTTAAATGATTAACAGAAAAACGATAAGACTTTAGTCAGTTATAATGAAGACATTAAAGAAATGAAAATGATTTAATGTCAAAGGAAGAAAGGTAAAACATAATGGTAAAAGCGACGACTAAAAGAAAAATGGAAAAAGTAAGAAGGATGAGAAGAATCAAAATAAATGAAAAGAAGAAAGTTTTTAAGCGAGAAAGAAAGAAAGAAAGAAAGAAAGAACGAAAGAAAGAGAAAGAGAAACAAATGAAAAGAAACAAAGGAATAGAAAGAAGGATTAATAGACGACTTTAAAGATGACATCTTAAAAAATTGAAAGAAAGAAAGAAAGAAAAACTAAAAGGAAGAGAAAAAAGGAAGAGAAAGAAGGATTAATAGACGACTTAAAAGACGTCAAATGAGAAAAAAATTGAAAGCGAGAAAGAAACAAAAAAACGCCGATAAATCAAACTCAAAAATTAAAATGACACATTTTGTAAGCGGAAAAGAAAGAAGGAAAGTGAAAGGACAACAAAGAAAGAAGAATCGAAAAAATGGAAAGAAGGAATCATTGATAGACAACTTAAAAAATGACAAATGAACAAATATAAGCGAGAAAGGCAGAAAGAAACGGAGCCAGAAAGCAAAAGAAAATCCTTAGGGCAACCTAAGAACGATATAAAATGAAAAGAAAATTAATTAATTAGAAAATGTAACGAAAGAGTTGCCGAGAGAAGGCGTCATTCGCCTTCGTGAAGAGAAGTCGCTAGTCAACATGCATTGCTTGTAGCCGTAAGGCAAAATTGATTTCGATGCGATTCGAACCTGAGCCTCACATTAACCAATTGATGTTGAGTTATGAGTTAAATGAACGCACAATAGATAAGCCAGGATGTTAGGAGAGTGACGCAATTATCAGATGACTATGTGAATTTAATCCAAAGACACGGATCGAGTACTTTTCGAGAGAATAAAAGAACGAACGAGATTGCAACTGGGAGTTCGGGAGAAAAACGTTCTTAACGGTGTTTCTAAGGGCAGCCGGGGTGAGCAAGAAACTGAGACGACTGACCGTATTTCTTTCCTTGTGTCTTGTACTTAATTTTCTTCTTACATCAGAAAGAAAGACATACATAAAGAAAGAAATACATAAAGAAAGAAAGAAATGAAAGAAAGAAAGAAATGAAAGAAAAAAGGAAAGAAAGAAAGAAAGAAACATACTAACAAACAAACAAAAAAGAAAAAAAAAAGAATAAAAGGAACAAAAAGAAAAGAAAAAAAAACAAGAAATCAAGGCGGGAATTTTTTTTAAAATAATTAAAAAGGAAAATGTCTGGCAACGAGGAAAAAAATGCTTAGTCGCTAAGATAAAATAGATGTGATATGAAAAAAATCCATAAACCGGAAAGAAAGATAGCAAAAGAAAAAGAAAGAAGGAAACAGTCGAAACAATGAAAACAACGAAAAAGAAAAGATGGATGAAATGCGTTTGTTAAAAGAAAAACAAGAAAGGGCGGAGAAATGAAAGAAGTAGAGAAAAGCAAGAAAAATAGAATGATGAATCCGACTGAATGAACAGCGAAAATAAAATAAAAAGAAAGATGGAGGAAAGAAGGAATGAAGAAAGAAAAAAATGAAAAAGGAAAGGGAAAAGATAACAAACGAAACATGAAAGAAAGAAGAAGATAGAAAGAAAAACAATTGTAAAAAAAAAAGAAAGAAATGAGATTATTGAATGTAGGAATGCCGAGAAAGAGATATAAAAATCTGACGAAATAAGGAAGGAAATTATAAAGAGAAAAGCAGTTTAAGCTGAAATAAACACAATCGAAATAAGGAAAAAATAAAAACGTGTAATATAGATGAAAAGTAAGAAAGGTAATGTTCTGAATCTGAAAAAAAAGCAACAAAATAGAACAAGGATCTGTGATATATTACACAGGAAATCACTACTGAAAAAATAAATAAAATTTAAAACAAGCCATTATCTACCAATTCCTAAAAAAAATAGACGAGGTAAACTCACAAATCCCACCAATATCAACAGTTTATGACCAACACGGAGATTAATCTCTTTTTTGTTCTTTTCATAATTCACTTAAAATCACCAATGAAATAAACAGAGCATTACACAACATAAAACCTCAATGGATCCTCTCAATGTTGATAGTGGATTTTTTTTTTATTATTTTATTGTCTTTCTCATATTCAAATGCTTCGGAAGTTTTAGGAGAATCATTTCTCTCTCTTTTTTTTAATCATTTCACCTAAGCGAGGCAATAAAAGCCACTAAGATGCAAGGGCTACTGATAGTGATAAAACACACACAGAGGACAATAAAAGAACAGTTTTTAAAGAGACTAATGACGACGACTGACATTGCATTATTTACATTGTTCGATTTGCTGTCCTCGTGTTTACTGTCTCATTCACAACGTTTCGGCCGTTGTAGGCTCCGACCTTCTTCAGGTTATTTGTTGGAATTTCGAACCGAACGTTTTATTTCGTCCATGGATGGAGTTTGCTCGAATTAAACGTACAATGCCTTTGGATATCTCAGTTTTAGTTAATTTTTTTTTAATGAATCCTGAGTCTTTCTCCGGTGAGGCCAGGGATCGAACCCAACTCTCTTTAGGTTGAGTCACTTTTTTGATCAATTAACCGATGCTTTTATCCACTGGGCTATGTGTCCTCAATGATAGAAAGCGCAGAGGATAAAAATGAAACGTCTTGAATATGGTCGCTAAAGATGAGCTCAGCGATACCTCATCTCAGAAATATAGACAGAAACGGATATTATTAGGTTGGTGCAAAAATAATGACGTAAGAATGTCGTTTTTGACGTTAAAAAATACGTCAAAAAACGACATTATTACGTCATTATTTTTGCACCAACCTAATATATTTAATTTTTCTCGAGTTCCTATGTTGTGAAGAAAGCAAGAAAGCAGAAGAGAGTTCTACGAGTGTGAAGTGGAGGAGAAAAAAAAAAACTCTTAACATAGAAATTACGGTCACAACTAGCAATTTCAACCGTGAAATTATGAAACCTCTCCGCCAATCTAGTACCAGAGAGGAAAGCCCACCAGAACAATTACCATTAAAATATTTATAGAGAAAGAACAGAGATGACTTTTCCGATTCTTTTTTTTTTATTGTCAAGAATCTCTAAATATATGGCAGAAAGTTATATATATATATATATATATATATATATATATGACGTAATAATGTCGGTTTTTGACGTTAAAAATACGTCACAAAACGACATTATTACGTCATTATTTTTGCACCAACCTAATATATATATAAAGAGGAGGTGCAAAAGTAAGTATATAGTAATGAAAAAAACGAGCACACAAAACGAAGTATTGTATTGATTTATACAGACTTATCAGTAATAAACATATCAATTTCTCAAATATTTTAAAAATTAAAATTAATTCTATTATAATAAAAATTATGAAAATATTCAAAACTATTATAATTAATTAAATAAATTCCAGTATTAAATGAATCCTAGAACCACGTTTGTTATATCCTATATGTAATATTATTTTAATCTGCCTCATATACCTGGTGTATATATCCGCAATAATTAACACAGGGATTGAATCTATAAGCATATGATTTAAATTTATAGACGCAACGTTCAGATTTATGGGCACATCGTTCAAAATACTATTCAAATTTAATCTATAAAACTTTTATGATAAGATCGAACGTAGTTGTAATCTGGTTAAATGATGTAGCATATGATTTATTCACCAATGAAATGCTCTATGTTCTATAATTTCCGTGGACTCCTTCACGTCGGCCATAACTCTCATTTCTTATACACAACTTACACAACTCGAATATAGCGTAAATGTCATAGAGTCCAAACGAGGACGATTCAAGCAACAAGCAATCATTCTTACTACTAAGTCCTTACACTTAGACTAACATACACCACGATCTCATGAAGAAGAATCTTACATATCAACGTGGCTGAAGAATCTTACATTAATGTCTATTTTATTTTAATCCTCTCAGATTCACGGATCAATTTATTAGTGTTCTTATTAATCTGATTTTGAGAAACATCCTAGTTTTGGTTATTATCAAGAAGTCATACATTAGACACATGTCGGATTCAAGTTCTATTGCACAACATTTCAAAGAACATTCCTGTTCGTGGCCATGTTTTAGAGAAATATTAATTGACACTACAAGTATACTTCACTACGAAAATAAAAACGAAAACTTCAAATTCTTGAAGCGCTCTGTATAAAAGAAGCAACCAACAATGAATAAAATTAATTATGAGTATAGCAACAATGTTTTAAAATGCCGATATAAGCAATATTTTGTGATACACAAATTGTATTTTTTTTAAAATTTCAGGTTGAGTATTTTAAAACATCAGTAATAAAGCAAATGTAAATTAAGTTACTACTTTTACATATTCGTAACAGTTAATTTTCAATTGATTATAACGGAACGCGTTTCATGTGCATTTACAAAAAAACAAACTTCACAACTATGTATTACAATAATTACTTGTCATAGTAATTCATCACTGAAGATCAATGGGTGGGATTGAAAGTACTTGGGAAATTAAAAGAAATAACAAAACTACGTCTTTCTTAATATATATATATATATATATATATATATATATATGCATGTTTCATTAAAAGCGACAGACAAGGTACTACGGTCAAGCTTTTTATTTAATTTTTCTTGTATTCGAACAAGAGCTTTCTTTTCTGGGCAAAGGGTGTGTATGAACTGTCCAAATGTTTTATATTTCTGATCGCTTTCGGCTATACCTTTCGCTATTATCAAGGATGATTCGATTTTTCAGTTTAAATGAGTGTGTGCGTTCTTTGTATGTCTTAGTGTGCGGTAGGGATGCTTTTAATTTCCGAATACGGTTAGCACATTGTGGCTTTGTTTGTAGTTAATATTGATAAGAGTTGGCTTCTTTTTTTCTTTTTTATTATTAAAGCTTCCATTATTTTTAGTCTTTTTTGCAGGTGGATGCTGCTAATATATTTGTGTTTTCTACTAGTATGTTTCTAATAGAGTTAGGTAAATGTGTGTGTGTGTTTAAATGGGTTCTAATAGAGCTGGGATCAGATAGGTGTAGTGTAAGACGTCTGAATAAGCATGTGGTTGTGTAACCGATGTAAGTATTTATGAGTCCGGTTTGATCAGGAACATAATTCCTCAAGGGGCATTTGAACTCATACATAATGTTCGTTCTTTGTAATTTTGACTTAGCTGGTGTGTTGTTATTTTTTAGGATAAGGTTGGCTGTCTTAAATTTTTTATAATAGATAATAAATTTGATTTTTTTTATTCGGATCAGTTGGAGTACTATATTTCTTTATAATATGCCTTAGAGAAGATTCGTCTTGTTTGTAATTAATATGCATTTGTTTTTTGTAATACATGTGTATGTGATTTTTGGCTGTGTTTTCTATCGTTATTACTTGCTATGGGGAGAAATAGTCTAATTTGGTGGTCTTTGGTAGACTATTTCTCTCCAAATATGAACTATTTGGACAGTTCTTACACACCCTTTGTCCAGAAAAGAAAGCTCTTGTTAGAACACAAGAAAATTAAATAAAAAGCTTAACCGTGGTACCTTGTCTGTCGTTTTTAATGAAACATGCATAAAGGAAGGATTGCTGCCTAAATATACAACTATATATATATATATATATATATATATATATATATATATATATATATATATACTATATAAATAATTATACACATATATATTTATTTATATTTATATACACTTTTCACACACACACACACACACACACACACACACACACACACACATATATATATATATATATATATATATATATATATATATGCATTTGTGAGTGTGTGTGTGTGTGTGATATTCTGTTATTGTTGGAAGAAGCACTTGTTCCCACGTATCTATTCATCTTTTTTCATTTAAAATCCTGTTTTTCATTGCTTTGCCGAACATTACACTCAAGACTCCAAGAAAATATCATTATGTTCCCCAGGGATTTCACTATAGCGAGCGTATTCTGAAGCCTTTTTTTAATGTTTCATTTCCTGGACAATGTTCATAGATACACCCGCTTTACTGATTGAATAATTAAAAGAAACTCACCGCTGACCAATCATGCAGCCCCTTGGAATTCACTAACGTATAAGATCTTTCATCAACCTTGCAGAAACGAAA